TCATGGGAGCTATGAGCTTATCCGGGCTTGTTGCTCATCAGAAAGGGGGCCACGGGGGCCAACAGTTTCTATCCCATTGGGTCACCATGAGGACCAAATGCTAGTCTGGGTATAACAGCACCAGCACAGTGCCTGGCCCACGGCCGGGGCTCAGGAAATGACACCCAGATAGCCGTGCAGTGGGGGTGCCATGTGCCACACAGGAGATTTCGGGGCAGACTTGATGGTGAGTTGAGGTGAAGAAATTGGACATGTCCATGTTCACATAGCATGATTCATGTCTACTCTGCTGCTGCTGCTGTCCTGTAACCAATTCCAGAGCCTATCTTGGCAGCTGGAAGTATTTGGGATTAATTTCACACTCACTTTATGAGTTGAGCCTTTTCCTGCAAAGCAGCTCCCTGGGCCGCTGCCTCATGACTTTGGCATCAGCTGATATGGCAGAGGGACAGAGATGTCCTCTGGGGTCTCCATTTTATTTGGAAACCTTCGATCTGAAAAAGCAAAACAAAGGCCATCAACACACTGCACTTGAAATCGTTAGCGTTCATTGTTTCCTGAGGCCTTCATCCCGCGCTGTTTGCCGTGAACCCCAGGGAGCACACGGCTTGCACGGCGGCGATGAGCCCTGCAAGGACCCTCTCCCTCGCCCGGAGGCCTGCAGCTGCTTGGCCTCCTTTTCTCCGCCCCAGGTGAGCTGCAGGACCTTCTAGGCCTCGGGCACATCTGAATCTTGATAGCTCCAGTTTTTCCAACTCTTTTCGTTGTGTTAATTCTGCTAAATTCATTTGGCCGTCTCGGAGGACAAAGTAAACTTGGCCGTTACGTGTAAAACCAAATGGAGAGCATGGAGATCTGTTTAGTGTTTCGTGCTGGCCAGTAGGGCAGGAAGATTTTCCTTGGGGGTAATTTACATGAGGAATTGTTTATCCCTTTTCCTTCCAGTTTCTGGGACCATTTGGGGATAGTAGACTCTTTCCACAATGGCACAGAAATGCATCCAAGGAACGACTGAGCCTTGGAGACATGGTGCTTCTCTTGGACGGATGTGTCTTGGGCGCTGCTCAGGAAGGATCCTGTGGCTTGGGCTGCGGTCTCTCTGAGAAGTCGTTCTACCACAGCTGTGTTGAGTAGGTTGGGTGGATCCATGCACTGACATGCTGTCACACTTAGTAAGGACTTTCCTGGGATAGCGAGGGACGTGCATAAAAGCCTCTCTCGGGTACCAGCAGATGCCCCAGATGTTTCCTGTGATACAATAGCTGTGTCACCTCCACCAGGTAATGCCCTCACTCAGAATATGCTGTGGCTCCCCAGTACCTACAGCATTGGATGCACATTCTTCATCCTGACACGTGTTTCTTCGGCAGTAGTTGCCCGTGTTACCTTGTTTGTCTCATCAGATGCTCTTCCCACACTGGAATCATTGTTCTCTGGACAGGCAGCCTCTGCTTTTTTGCTTGAATGCATTCGGCCGAGTTGTCTCCTTCACTGTTACAGTGTCTGTTCTTGAGGACACATTTCAGGTACCTCTTCTCAGGGGTGTGCTGCTACATATTTAACAACCGGTTCCCTGGGGAGGACGGGTAGTGGGCAGGCTGGCTGGCTTTGAAGCATTTGTTGACCTCTGCGTTATAAATACTTCCACCACGACCGATCTCAAGCCACCCACATGAGGTCACAGAACTGCAGACTTGGGAAGAAATGGGCAATAGCCTTTTCTGTTCCCCACCTGCAGGGACAACAGGCATACATCATCTCAAGGGCCCAGATACTAGTAAAATAATTAGGAAGTAATTTTGACTATTACCTTTGTTTTAATGCAATTTATTTAATTTTAAATTTATATAGTTTAATTTTTTTTGTGACGGCCAAGTTTAACACATGGCTCACAAAATTTCCGAAAATGGCACAATCGCTGCTTTCTCCTGAGCCGGTTGGAGCTGGCTGCTTCTCCCCCCCTTCCCTTTCAAGGCCTCCACACTCAGGAGCGAGGCCCTTCCCTGGACCTGGAAGGGACTTCGGGGCTCATGCAGGCTTTGGGGGCAGAGACTCCAGAGTCTGAACCCCGGCCCCTTGTTTACCGGGCGACGGTCAAGCTGGGTACCTAAGTTGCAGTTCCCAGAGCAAAACGAAAATGCAGAGCCCTTGTGAACAGGCAGGAAGCAAGGGCTGCTAAAACAGCTCCCGAAATACAAAGCTTCCTCCTTTCTTTTTTTTTTTTTTTTTTATCCTCACCCGAGGACATTTTTCCATATTTTGTTCAGATAGAGCGGGAGGGAGAGAGAGGAAGAGAGAGAGAGAGAAACATTGATGTGAAGGGACACATCGAGTGGCTGCCACCCGCACGACCAACCAGGGCCGGGGACAAACTGCAACCGAGGTACATGCCCTTAGTGGGAACCGAACCCGGGTCTCTCTGGACCACAGGCCGACGCTCTAACCGCTGAGCCAAACCAGCCAGGGCAAAGCTTCCTCCTTTCTTCAGTGGCCTCCCTTTCGTGCCTTCTGGTGGTATCTTTCCTTTTCTAGTGAATGTCATTCCGAGTAAGGAAACATTAAAATTTTAGATAGTTAGTGCGAATTTGATCATTAATCACTATGTTATGCGATGCCAGTTTTAAATGCCCATCTATGAGCGTGTAACTCTAGGGGTTGATGGGCCTGTCTCCTCCGCTCATGCGTGTGATCCATTATCCCACTGACGTCACTTACAAGACACAGATTCAAAAATAAAATTATTGAGAATGTCAAACTGAGACAGCAGGGCACTGAACCTGGCATGGAGCCCTTCTGAGCAGGGGCACTGTTTGCATGCCCTGCGTACAGTCCCGGTGAATCCCTTCCATCTGCTGAGCCTCAAAGACATTGTCTGTAAAGTGGAGGTCCTGCCAGCTAAGCCACAGCGGGGTGTGGTGACGGAAGGCCCGGATGCCTGCCTGGCACAGAGCAGAATGCTTGGCGTGCAGTCTACGCTCAGTTCATTGGACGGATTGTTGTTAATAACCCTAATGTGAGTGGCATTCTTCCTGGAGTCTATAGGGTCTTTCCTACATGGCCAGCATTTGCCTCCTTGACCTACTTTCCTTCCTCTGTTATAAACTCTTTGAAGGTGGAGATGAGATCTGTCACCATTGAATTCCCTCTAGTGCTCCCTGAAAATTTTTGCACATACCTGGCCCTCAAAAGGTAGATATGACCTTCATCTTTGTATGATTTGGACTTACTGACAATACGCATCTGTGCCATCATATCATGACCTCTGCGGTGAGGCTTAATTGGTAACATTCACAGGAAGGAAAAAATATGAATTTAGACCTCAACAGGCGTTAGTTGTAATCATGGTGAGGGTGGGGAAGCGGATGGCGCCAGGTGTTTTGGTTTAAGGAAAGTGGCCTCTGTCTGTCCCTTCGAGGGGACTGCTCGAAGTACTGGGGAAGGGATGCGTTCCAAGCCTCACTTGAGTAAAACAGGCCCCAGGGATATTAACTGGCCCATAATAATTTGTCCCTTTGGTAACTTGTTTCACACCTACTTTTTGTTCTGCACAATTAGGACATTATTACAGGAATGTCTCTTTCCACTCAGTGGTTGTGTATGTATGGTTTCTTTCCAACAAATTGTAAGATCCTCGTGGGCTGTAGGATTCTCGCACTTCTTGTGCACACGGTGGCAAGCAGGTCAGGGCTAGGCCCCTAGGAAGCGACGCGCGTGGTCGTGCTGCCCATCGGTCCGAACTCCCTGGGCTCCCTGGGGAGCGCACCTGAACGCCTGCCAACCCCGAGCCCCGGGGCAAAGCAGCCCCGTCTGCCTGGCTTGGTCAGGCCAGGACCTGCCGTTGCTTTGTCTTTCTCTGACCCACATCTCTGTTCCAGTGTCCCCAGGCACCCCGAGGACTGTCCCCCTGCAGCGCCTCTCCCTCCATGGAATTTGGGAGACCACACAGCTGTAGAGTCTACTTGTGTGAATGATGATTTTTTAACCAGCCCTTTGGGCCAATGTCAATAGCCCATGAAATCTCACCAAATGGATCATCTGCGCGAGACTCTTGAAACTCCGCTGAGCTCCAGGCCTCAGGCTGGGGGGCCTGGCAGGAAGGAGCTCGGGGCGCTCCGCCTTTTGCTCTTTCCATTTTGGGGGCTGTCAGACGCCTTGAGCCTTGGGGCCAGTCAGTTCATTACTTTTAATGAGCACAAAATTCACCAAGACATTAAAATAACAAAACACCAAAGGGCAGTCTTGGATGTTCCATCCAATTGTTGCTTTAGTTCTTTTTTCCACAGGATTATTCAAGAGGATGAAAAAAAAAGGCTAATTCTACTCACTCTTGCCAGTTTTGTCCTAAGTAGATTGGACATTATGAAGCTAACACACCCCGAATGTTCTTTTCTCCTTTCGGGTCCCTGTGGGACGGTGCCTGACGTCCGTGTTCCAAACGACGCACCACTCGACTGGCTAAGTGTTTGAACATCGTCTTCCGTTTGGATATAATAAAGAAATATCGATATTCCACCCATGAAACAGATGAAGAATAATAATCAGAGGAAGATAGTCATTTTCTGAAAAGGGTGTAATGAAGTTATTATTTTAAATTATAAGGCAAATGCAGTGATTTTGATAAGATTTTAAAAAATAGATCCATCTCCGTGGCTAGTGTTAAAGACCGGAATAACCATACCAGAGGTTACTTTTATTATCATATATTGCAGAAGGTCAATCTGTGGGGACACGGATGCCGAACAAGGTCCCCATTAAGCTGATTTCATGGATATTTTTATCTCCCAGCCATATGGATTTGGAATTACTTTGGGCTTTTTTTTTTTTTAAAGAAGGAAGTGAACAGATGAATGATAACTCTTTTATTACTCAACATAGCTTGTGTTTGGGGAGACAGAGCTCATCAGGTTGTTTGAAAGAAAAACAGGAGTGTGACAAATGTAAGTGGTGGAGGGCCCGGGAATTGTGAAATTACCCCTGACCGAAGTTGGTCATTCCTGCAGGTGATCGCTCTAGCAGACGCCGTGGAGGAGAACCAGGACAGCCTGCTGCAGTCATGCGCCAGGCTCCGAAGCGCCTCCCATCTGCTGATCCTGCTGATCGGCCTGTGGCAGAAGCTCAGTGCTGACCAGGTGGCCATCCTGGAGGCGGCGTTTCTGCCTCTGCAGCACGACACTCAGGAGCTGGTAAGGACCCACAAGTCTGCCGTGGTGACAGCCATCGTTACTGAGAAGAGGGTGGCTTGAGGGAGGTCGCACACATGGCTGTCATGTTTTTTAAGGTATCAAATGATGGCTTGGTGAGTTTTTTTTTAACCTCAAGCAGTTTTCCTTTTCTTGAAATCATTATAAAAATGTCAAATAAAAGCCTTTTTTTTTTAGAGCTATTTTAAAAAGGGGTGTATAGTCTATTTTTATGTGGAATCCAGTCTAGTCTTACGTGTTCTCCGAGCACGGAGAAGCCAGGGAAGCAGTTTTCCGACGGCCTGGGGAGGCCAGCAGCCCTTCAGATCGGCGCTCCTTCCCCTTCGGCCAGAGGGAACAGGCCAGCACGTCACTGGCGCCCAGGGCCAGCGACACGGAGCGCCTGCCGGAGGGCAGGATCCGCGCGCTTCGTGCCCGCGTCTGCTGCCGCACAGTTTCCAAGCCCTTTCGCACTCGGCCCTGTGGATAGGCAACGTGGAGAGAAAAGGGGAGAACAAGGGTTTCTGCTTGGAGTTTTTGGTAGAGGATCATTCAAATAACAACATCTCAGATCCCTTGAACTGTAGAGGTATCGACGACCATCGTGGGGGGACCTTTTGCATGCTTTTATTACAAAGAAATAATATACTTCTTGGAAATGAGAGACCCTTGAACTTAGTTTTTGTATTGGAGGAAACTATTTCAAGGAAAAAGTCATTTCAAATCTATTTTTAAACCCAGGTATGAGAACATAGTGCTAAAAATAATTGTACTAAAAATAACATTTTCGAGTACTGACTAGGTACCAGGTGTTATTTTAAATGCTTCAGAAGGGTCATCTGATTTACGTTTACACGTGGCCCTCTAAGGCAGTCAAGGTACTATTTTCATCCTCACTTTACGTGGGGATAGAGGCCTTGAGAGTCCGCTAGTGCAGTCGAGCCAGGTTTGGACCAGTTCTGTCTGCTTCCAAAGTCCATATTTTTAGCCAGTACCCTGTGTTTTACCAAGCAAAGTCATGAATAATTTTGAGAATAAGAAGCTTTATCAGTCGAATCTGATTTTCTACAATTGTGTCAAAAGATTGTCATATTTTAAAAAATCAAGCTATGTTTTATATCCTAAACAGAATACTAATAAATAATATGGAAAAATATTAAGAGTAGATACAATTTTTTAGATAGATACAGTTCAGCTAAAATTGACCTTTGAGAAGGTGAAAATGTAGACATTGTAATAATAGAAAATGAAGAACACAGTGGTTAGAATTACCTTTTTTTTTTTTTATCCTCACCCGAGAGGGCATTTTTTGTTCAGATAGAGTGGAAGGGGGAGAGAGAGAGAAACATCGATGTGAAAGGGACACATTGAGTGGCTGCCACCCACATGACCCAACCAGGGCCGGGGACAAACTGCAACCAAGGCACGCACCCTTAGCGGGAACCGAACCTGGGTCTCTCTGGACCGCAGGCTGATGGTCTAACTGTTGAGCCAAACCAGCCAGGGCAGAATTATCTTAATAAGAATGATAACCATCACTTATGAGCTCAGATTTAGTAGTCAAAAAGGCTTGGGTGGGCTCAGTACCTGTTTCCACCACCCAATGACAAAGTCCCTCTGGTCAAGTTTCTTAACTGATCTAAATCTCTGCTTCTGTAGCTATAAGATAGAAACAATAACAGGATCTACCCAGGAAGTTGTAATACAATTTAATGAGATAATCGAATAGAGTGCTTACTCATTGTTGGAAGTGGTTCATCCAGTTCACATATATTATTTATAGTTCTCACTAAAGTCATGAAGGTAGGTATTATTACCTTTGCATGTTCGTGTGTCTCCTCAACCTCACTTGAGGGTGGGAATTCTGTATCTCTCGCTGTTATGTTTCCAGTGCCTGGCAGTGTCTCACCATAGAGCAGTCGGTATTTGTCAGGTGGATGGGTGGAGAAGAGGGAGGAGGCTGGCGAGGTGGTTGGCGGGACAGGCGGTGCCCAGTGCAAAATGGAAAGGCCGGTCCTTGTTCCAAAAACCTAGGAAAAGGGTGATGTGCTATCAAAACAGGTTCTGAAACACCAGGCTTTTTACCTTCCAGTCTCTCTCTCTCATCATGGTGTTTTTATTTGCTCTTTTATGTTGTTCTAAATATAGAAAAATTAGAAAGTTAAATTGTTAGCATGGATTTTACCAGTAATCTTTATAATGGGCATTGCCGGTTTTAATGCAAATAGAAGAGCATTAAGCTCCTGTGTGTAAGGAAGGACCGGAAGCCCAGGGGCTCTGCGATGCTCTTCTCCTTCCCAGGGCAGCGGTTGGGTAACTCAGGGAGGTTACAGAGGCATAACGGGCTTCCTTCGTCCTTCCTGCTTCTTTGAATCGATTGCCTTCTCCCTTCATTCGAATCAAGTTCTGGTTCAAATGAAAAGCTTCCCAGGGCTGTCAGTGCCCCTGCTCACTCAGTCCGGATGTAACACGCCTTCCTCGTGCCTGGGTCTCCATTCATCATGGGACCACGCATGTAACACACCTTCCTCGTGTTTGAGTCTCCATTCATCACGGGACCACAGATGTAACACGCCTTCCTCGTGCCTGGGTCTCCATTCATCACGGGACCACGGATGTAACACGCCTTCCTCGTGCCTGGGTCTCCATTCCTCACGGGACCACGGATGTAACACGCCTTCCTCGTGCCTGGGTCTCCATTCATCATGGGACCACGGATGTAACACGCCTTCCTCGTGCCTGGGTCTCCATTCCTCACGGGACCACGGATGTAACACGCCTTCCTCGTGCCTGGGTCTCCATTCCTCACGGGACCACGGATGTAACACGCCTTCCTCGTGCCTGGGTCTCCATTCCTCACGGGACCACGGATGTAACACGCCTTCCTCGTCCCTGGGTCTCCATTCATCATGGGACCACGCATGTAACACGCCTTCCTCGTGCCTGGGTCTCCATTCCTCACGGGACCACGGATGTAACACGCCTTCCTCGTGCCTGGGTCTCCATTCATCATGGGACCACGCATGTAACACGCCTTCCTCGTGCCTGGGTCTCCATTCCTCACGGGACCACGGATGTAACACGCCTTCCTCGTGCCTGGGTCTCCATTCATCATGGGACCACACATGTAACACGCCTTCCTCGTGCCTGGGTCTCCATTCCTCACGGGACCACGGATGTAACACGCCTTCCTCGTGCCTGGGTCTCCATTCATCACGGGACCACGGAATTCCGAGCTCACGGGGCCGAATGTGAAAGGGCAGAGGGGAGGAGGATGCACCCGTGTCACGCGCGTCTTTGCTTCTCACACACGCACCATTGTCCCATCAGACTTCATTTACAAAACCCAAATTCAAAGATGAAATGATTCAGAATTTCAAGACGGTGCCGGCCAGCGTTCAGTGAAGCAATGGATGCTGGCCGAGCCGGAGCCCCGTGAGGCTCCTCCAGCTCCCCTGCTCTTGAAGCGGGGTTAGACCCAAAGGAAGAGTTCCCCAGAAATCAACATTTCCTTTGGGTCACACGTAGGAATTGCACCCCAAGACACACTGCGGGATTTCTGACTCTGGAGGTTTTTAAACAGCCTCGTTTTGCTGGGCGTATATGAGTAGATTCATCCCTGGAGGCAGGTGAATGACTCAGCACCCTCTCAAAGCGCCGTCTGCCTCTGTTCTCTGCTCTCCTACCTCCCAGACTCCTGGGGCGAATTCATTCAACTCTCCTCCAAATTTGCCGAGATTAGAAGGTGTGTATACTCATCGTGTCTATTGAAATCATTAATGAGACAGGACATTTGATAAAAACATAACTTGGAGAAGAATGAATCAAAAAAGACATTTTAATGCTGCTTGTTACGCTCTTCATCTTTAGTTAGGTGTGGTATTCACGTTGGACTTATGCTGTTGAGACAGCTTATACGTCTTGAGAAGAAAGGAATCCCTTTTCATTCTCGAAGACGTCCGCGTGTAGCACGCGGTTCCCACCAGCTGGCTCACAACCCCCCGCATTATGCCTTCAGACCCCACAAATAAATGCGATGTGATGGGTATCCCACCGGGACGCGGGAGTGAAAAATGCGAGCCTGAAATAACTTGGGAGGAGGGTGAGGCAGGGAAGAAAGGAGTCTCTGACCAGAATGTTGAAAATATATCCCATATTGAAGTTATTATGGTACCACAAAAATCTGAATGTAATCTAGACGCTTTGGTTGAGGGCGGATGGCAGGGTGCGGGTGTGGGGGGGCCGCCTCAGGCATGTGGACATCATTTCCAGCAGAGACTCTCCGTTCAAGGTCACATGTCCCCAGAACTATGGAGGGGTAGAAGGAAGTGCACAGATGTTTTGTTTACGTTTTAAATGTCACCACGTCATGGTTTGTTGTGTTTCATTTAGCTGGCACGCGACACAAGGCAGGCTAACTGCCGTAGTCAGTGCTGGGTATTTTCCTCTTCGTGGCGTTAACTTCACAGATCAGAACTATTTAGAACTTATCAGTGCTAATGAAAGTAATCTTCTTCACACTGTATTATCAGTATTTAAAAAAAATACCGTCTCATTTGGAACAGATGCATCATTGTTTCCTTCGACTTGTCTCTTTAGTAATGCGTCTCCATTCTTGCCACTTAATGTAATATTTTGGGGGCAAATAAATGTTGGTATTACAGACTATTGTACGTGATTTTTTTTAAGGTGCTAAAAGTTATATATGCCGGGTGTGTTTTTGGGGGGGGGACATTCTCTTTCACTTTAAGAAAAAGCATTAAAAGTTTTATTTGGCATCTTCAAAAAGAGCTCTTAACCTCATTTGTATAGTGGACTCGACAATACTGCATTGTCCTTCCGGTCTTCCTGTGATGAAGCAGTTCTGCCCACAATAATGTTCTGTTAGAGTTCCCGATAGGGTGACTCGAAAACGAATTCTTTCTTACCTTTCAGGTTGGGAACTGGGGATATTTCAGAGTATCTGACTTCTCCGTGCAGAATTAAAGCCTGTGTCTCCCGAC